AGAGTTAGAAACATCAATGAGAGAGAAACATCGATCAGCTGCCTCCTGCATATCCCCCACTGGGGATGTGCCAGCAACCCAGGTACATGCCCTTGACCGGAATGAACCTGGGACCTTTCAGTCTGCAGGCTGACGCTCTATCCACTGAGCCAAACCAGTTAGGGCGGTCAAAATACTTTTTAATTTCTCTTTTGATTTCTTTTTTGACCTGTGACTTATATAGAAAAGTACATGATTTAATATTCAAATATTTCAGGGTTTTCCAGAGTTTTCTGTTACTGATTTCCTATGTGATGTAATTGAGGTCAGAGAAATACTTCGTATGGCTTGAATCCTTTAAATGTATTAAACATTGGTTATGGCCCAGAACATAGTCTGCATCTGGGTAGATGTTCTGAGTACCTTTAAAGAAAATGTATTTTGCTGTTGCTGTGTGGAGTTCTATAAATTTCGGTTCAAGATGGTTAATATTGTGGTTCAGGTCTTCCATTCATTTCCTGTCCACTCATTCTAGCAACTACTCAAAATGGGATGTCAAAATATTTGGCCCAGGCCTGGTGGCTCAGTTAGTTGGAGCGTTGTCCCGAACACCAAAAAGGTTGCAGGTTCAATCCCCAGCTGGGGCATATACAGGAGGCAATTGAGCAATGTTCTCTCACATCAATGTTTCTCTCTCTCTCTCTCTCTCTCTCTCTCTCTATCTCTCTCCCCCCTCCCTTTTTCTCTCTCTAAAATCAATAAAAAGCAATACCCTTGGGTGAGGATTAAAAACATTATTGTTAATGGGAACACTTCTTAGTGGAGGGAGGAGCAAATGGTGGGGTCTGAAGGCCCCAGGATCAAACTGTACCCTCCAAGCCTCCTCCTCCCCTCGTGGGCCCTGGTTCTTGCAGAGGCTGTGATAGCCACTGCATGAGGGCATTCGCTTTAGTCCCTGGTGGGAAGCGGGGCCCTTCGGCATGACGTCACAGTGAGCGTCCTGCAGTGAACCTTCGTGCGCCTCTTCCCACAGAGAAGGGCAGTGGGCGGCCCTGCTGCTCAGATGGTCTTGGCTGAGGTCACTTCACTCTGAAGCCCTCCATCACCTGGACGACTCTGTCGTGTAGCGAACGGACAGGCCAAGCCAGAGAGGGAGCATGTCTGCGTGGTGGCTGGGGCTGCCCATCACCAG